CGGCTCACCTGATTGCCCACAGCTCTACGCCGCCGTCAAGAACACTCACGGGGCGTGAGCGCTACACCTACAACACCGAGCTACGCCGCGCTGCCTCTGAACGGAGTGTTCAAAGGGTCAGTCGATAGCCGGCTTTCACTTCGGCAGAGCCACTGCCAGCCGCAGCGAACTCAGGCGACTTCGGCACGCGTGGCCCTGCCCCTGCCGATTTCAAGAGTCGAGCCCCGAGACGGCTATCAGGCACGCGTTCCCTTACATTAGAGTGGATCCTTCAAGCAGTGCCCCGTAGCTCACCATGCCCAGCTCCCACCAGGGATCGCTACCTGGCGAGACCTCACCCCGGGGCTCCCAGCGGGAGGAGGCCCAGCCCACCATGGAGTCTCTGCTGAGGCTCGTTCAAGGGCTGCAGGCCTCCATCACCGAGCTCCGCGCGGAGGTCACCAGCACGAGACTGGACCACCTCCTCAAGGAGAACGATGCCAAGCGGGCGCTCCTCGCTAAGTCTGATGCCCACTCCCGGGTTCTCGAGGACGTTGTTCGAGCCAGGGAGGACCAGGCTCAAGCAGTCGCTCAGCAGAAGGAGCTTGAAGCAGAGCTTGAGGAGGCGAGGACCACGAAGCTCCCCTCCTCAGCCCCTTCGCCTACCCCTCAGGCGAAGACGGTGAGGCTCCCGCCAAGCCCACACACTCCTCTGGCCGAGGCCTCCTTCGCCTCTGAAGGCCACCCCAGCCGCCACGCACCGCTGGCATCGTCGACACCCAGGCAGCCTCCCCTGGTACCCATGGTGGGACGAGGCGACTACAGTCAGGAGGAGCTGTATTCCACGGCCACCGGCCCCATGGCTCCTCGTGTACACCCTGCCAACTACAGCATGGCTAGCGAGAAGCCAGCCAGCAAGAACGGCCCCAAGCTTGCTTTCCCGAAGTGGCAGGAGAACGACCTGGAGCTCTCGCTCATCGAGATCGAGAGCTGGTTCCAGTTCTACGAGATGCTGGATGCCCGGCGCCGGATCCAGTACCTTGGACCCAATCTAGGAGGTAGGGCCCTGCAGTGGTACCGCTCGAAGCTCCGCGTGGACCCGTCCCAGTCAGGCATCCTGTTCAACGACTGGACGTACTTCGTTGACCGTCTGAAGGAGCTGTACGGCCACCATGATGTGCAGTACGAAGCTTACCTCCAGCTGCATGCCATCAGGCTAGCCTCTGACAAGGCAGGCAAGGCCATCGAGTACGTCGAGCAGTTCAGGGCTCTGGCAGACCGAGCACAGGTGAGCGACGAGAGGATGAAGATGCTCGTCTTTCGCAACGGCCTCACGCCAAGCCTTCAGCGTCTCTTCGAGCGCGATCCCCCCCAGAGTATGTGGGAGTGGTACCGGCAGGTCGAGGCCATCGATCGAAGCCGGGTGCTCAACCAGCAGACGCTTCAGAGTAGCGCGGGGCTCTCTGACTCGACGTCTGATGCCATCCGCTACGACCGGTTCGCCCCCGAGCGAATTCGAACGAGTTCGGCAAAGGCACCTATGCGCCCGGCCGAAGTGGCAAATGAACCTCGCCCCGCCATGAGATCCTGGTCCACTGCCGCTCAACCACGTACTGAGGCGCCAGCCGGTAGTGCCCGACCCAGTGGGCGGCCCCCTCCTCCGCACCTGGCCAGCAAGCTGCCTGTCCGCTACGAGCCGAGGCGACCACAGCCCACCACGTTCGGAGACGGCTGCAGGATCTGCGGTAGCCTGGAACATTGGTCCCACAGCTGCTCCCAACGGCCCCGCCTCGCCGTATTACGGAACAAGGATCGTCAGCCAGGTCCCAAGGCCTTCGCAGCCCAGGAGGATGACGGCGAGACCGTGGCAGACCCCTCCAAGGAGCAGGACGAGGAAGACGTCGAGGATGATGAGCTGCTACCAGCCCAAGAGCCTCTCGTCGGCATGGATGACGACGACGGCGAGGGAAACGCTCGTGGGACAACCCAGTGATGGCTTGTCTTGTCCTGCAACCCTCCTCGCCATCCACCTGTATATACCAGAACTGTCAGTTGTGCTTCTCCATCAACTCCAGTCCGTCGGTCCTCGAGCTCACCGGCACCATCAACGCCAAGCCGGCTCGCATCCTCGCCGACACTGGAGCATCCCTGTCTCTACTCTCAAGCTCGTTCGCCCGTACATATTGTATCAACACCACACCCACGGCCGCCTCCAAGACGATCCACGGCATCAGCGGCCACCAAGTGCCCATCACTCAAGACGCCGTCGTGACAGTCGGCGTAGGCCAGCAGGAGCTACCTGGGCTCCATGCATACATAGCCGACATCGTAGACTTCGACTTGATCATAGGCTACGGTACGCTGAGGCATCTACGGCCGCAGATTGACTGGGAGAACGACCGTATCCATTTCCCCACTTCGGCAGAGTACGCGCATACTGTGCCA